TTGTAACACGGCCACATATAACCAATATGAATTAGGACTAGTTAGGGGGCCATTTAGGGCCATATATTCCCAATTACTAGATTATATCGAAGTTTCTAAAGTTATCTACAAGAAAACAGCGATAAAAACATTTTTGTTTTGGTCATCATAACGTCATCGAGGTCGCGAGTTGATGCTCTAATGTTATTGGTGTCATTCAGTCCGGTTGAACTCGTTCCGATTGTATTACAACAGTTAAGTCATCGGCGATTTTATAGACGTTATTTATATGTATTATTCGATAGCAAAAGTAGAAAAAACTTCCTGAATTTAAAGTACGTAAAATAAGGGAAAATGTGTTACTATAAATATGGCCTATATAAAAGAATCTAGTTTTAGAAAATCTAGTATTCAAATTTTTGAGCAATAGGGACTATCATTAGTAAATGTAACTTGTAAAGAAATAATGATCCCAAATAAACATTCAGTATTTTCATTTTTATAATATTAGTATAGAAAAATAATTAAAAGCAACTCACCAATTTTCGCGCTGCTAAACACGATCAACGCATGCGTATCATCCACCCACTTAATTTCGAAACCAGTGTCTTTGTATTCACTGAACAAAGAGAACAGATCGTTCGTTTTGAACTCACTGGGAAAGTCATACACTTCCACTACATGACCGAACGTTTCGTCATAAGGACCGTTGAAGAGCTGCTGACCTCTCGTCTGGTACTGGTCGTAACAGTTCTTTGGCTTGCTGATGTGGACCTTGCCAACTGTAGTCGTCAACTCCTCAAGAAGTGAAGGATCAAGGCACTCTCCACTTTCATCGAAAACTGCGTCCCAATCGTTCTCTTCTCGCTTCAAAGACACCTTCGCCTCTAGCTTAGGCTTCGGTTTCTTAACCACCTCAGTTTCTTTCTCTTCTACCGCTACCACTGGTTCAGGCTCATTCTTCTCTGTGACACTATCAACAGTATCCGATATAACTAACACGTCAGAATGGAAGCTCTGTTTTATAATTCTCTTGCTACTTCTATTAATTTCTTGCGAGGCTCGTTTCAGCTCATTCTTTTCAACATCTTCACCCTTAGCGTACAAATAATCGTTATCGATAATATTATTGCTTTGATTCGATTCGTTCACCGCCATATTTTCGTCGGAATCATTGGATCTCCAGTCGCTATTGTCGGTCGCGTTCTCGCGACTGTTTTCCGCGTACTCGCTGTAGAAGTTCGGACTGTAGAATCCTAACTGTCCGTTAGCGAAATAATCTCCTATATAAAAATTATCGCCTACTTCTATGTCGTTAATAAAACTATTATCACTAAAAGATATTGCACTATCACTATTTGGCACTTGGAAGCCTGAAGGCACAGATTCTTTTGTATCGCTCGATGTGGGTTCCTCTATGCTTGGGGCCGTGTGAGATCTTTGATTCCTGAGATGCGGTGGCGTGTACACATTGCAGTACGCTTTGTCTATAGATTTCCTTGGGGTGCCGTGGTGTGATTTCTCTTTGGGCGCGGGTGACTTAGGACACTTGACACCTTCCGCACTGTGACTAGTTCTGCGATGATTGTTGGTATCCTTATTGTTGTCCTCAGTTTGTGCACTCTCTGCGTTTCGCAGGGCGCGGGGCACGTAAACAGCACGATCTGGGCGCCGAGGTTTCGTTGAGCCAGATCTGGGAACAAGAATAACTTATAACGCATGACCTTGATGTCCTACTTATCTGAGAGCATTAGATATTACTACCATTCACACATTCCATCTTACGACAATAGACCAATGCGCATCAAGAGCAATACACGTGCCGTACATAACCTAACCTCCCAAAATCATCATCATCATCAAAAATCATAGTCGCACTTGTCACGTTCATTGTGCGGCTACTATTACCGCAGTCACGTAACTCCAAGTGGGGCAAGGCCAGCGAACGCCAGTCGAACACTGGTTGCCCCTCTCTCCGTGGCACACTTTCAACCGTTTTCGGCCACTCGCCGGTTTGTGTAATTGAATGTTGATGTTGTTGACATCACTGCTCTTTGTCTGGACCTAGTTTGGTAATCGTATTTTGTAACATCGTTAGTGGTTACAATTTGCTGTATATTGATATATGTGTTGTTTTTATTTGTTATGGTTAGGTACGTGTTTATTGTTCGTTACTTTTGTTCTACTCATACTGTCACTGTCTTGTGGTTGCTCAATTTATTCGAAATGAACACTGAAATCCTAAACTGACCTTACTTAAAGGTTCAAAATTGATAGCTTTTACACATGTGGCAATCATATTTACAAGACATTACTTGACCTTATTCATAATGTCAATACAAACACAAAATGAGAGTGAATTTATTAGTTCTTTTTTAGACAAGTTGCAGAAACCGCAATGATGATTCAGGTGAAAAGAAACTTCGCTTGTGCATACAATTCGAAGGTTATTTGTGATCTGAACATTCGCAATTAGCAATATTTTATACGACCTTGGTATTACAATATTTTTGGATTTCATAAGTGTCTACCATGTCAAACGCCTTTCCTAAGTCCGAGATGACTTGTTAAGGGATCCAAAACAATTTAAGCAAATCCAACTTAAATCTGCTAGATATACGATAGGATTTAGAAAGGGCTTATTGCCAACTTACATATTGCACAACGGACTAACATTCTATCTAAGTCTGACTACAAGGTGGTTGAGTATACTTTCGTAATAGCCAGAGAAATACCTAATGGCTGGAAACTAAAGGTGTCATGTTGCTATTTACGATTAGACTAACTTATCTTATGGGGATACGGAAGCATTGTATTGTGGAGTTGAGATAGCTAGATAATATAGTGTCTGATTGGTTGGAAAGGAATTATCGTGCAATTGCTAAATCTTAGTCTACTGGAGATTATTACTTTGATAGCCAAATTAACATCGGTAAAAATACGTGACTTTCACAAAAATTACATGATAGCAAAACTGCGTTTCAAAAACTTCATATTAAATCACAATAACAATGATAACGTTATGCAAATAACAATAACGATTAACAAATACTAACAAATGATCCATTAGCAGCTAATTGGCGAGTCGTTTCTTCAGTCAATCTGCACATTACTCGCCTCTCATTTCAATACAATACAATAGTGAAGGGGGCAAATGTCGATGTTGATTGTCAATAAATCGCGGACGAGCGCCATAAAAGCGGTCAAGTACAACACTATTGTACAAATATAATGTGTTATTCACAATTTGATTTATGATATTTCTATTCGATTACCACGCTGATAAAAATGTTATGTTGAATAATTTGAGTGCAGAAAGGTCTTTTTAAAATTATATGGTTAAAATTATGTGATTAAAGACATTTAGGTAATGTTTTGACGTTTTATGACAAAGAATAAAATGATTAATAGCCTCGACAACCCAAAAAATATACAATTAAGAACTTAAAGAAATATTTATCTTGGATTCAGTTGGCTTAAAAATATCTCCATTGCCATTAAAAGACTGATAAAAAATGAGACTCTTTATAAACAAAATAATAAGAACACATTTTACACACTTTTATTAACTATTATCAACACTAAATAGGACCTCATTTCACGTACCTTTATTGAAACAAATCACAGAATGTCCTTAGCACGTGTATAACCACGCAATTAACTCCAACCTCTATGCACTGAGCAATGAGTATGCATATAATTACGAATCATGCGTCATTGTTCCCCGAAACGTACATAACTATTGGCTTGCAAATTAATGTTTTTACATTACTTTGTACAGCTGTGTATATATTTTCCTTAATCGTTGTTTGTTACATACTCAAGGACTTTTATTATTTCCATCACTTTCAATTTCTTTGTCAGTGTCAAAGTTATCGTGGTAACGAACTATGATTGATTGTTTTTTGTTCATTGTTACATTATTTTTAACGCAATGACCTTTAATTATGATGACATGTCGAACGATTACGTCATAATTACCAAGATTGTATGACCTAATTTGATGATAGAGCATACAAACCCTTCCAAAAAACCCAAAATTGCAGAACACAAATCCAAAAACCACTGAAAACTTACACAGATTCACTTTCAACACATCCAAAGGTCGTCATACGAGTTTTAATTCACATAACACTGTAAAACAGCACAATAAAGTCCACTTTACAATAATGAGTGATAAGATAAAGGGCTTAGCGTACGTCCGTTCGTGACGGGTGACGAACAACAAATGATGTAGGAAGTATTGTTGATACCGACCTGATCTTTTCCTGAGGCTGCGCACGCCGCGAGGCCTGCGCTTGCGCCGGCTTGAAACCTCCCACCGCCGCTGCGAAACAGTGTTACATAAAGTTACCATGATTTCGATAGTTGTGAGGAATTGATAAAGAAATAAAAATATATTATGATTAAGTGTTGCTTGATATTGCAAGATTGTTTTTGCATTATGCACATTTCGTTAAGTAAGTATACATAAGTATAAAGTATGTAGTGTTCTCGCAAGGGCGACCAAGAAGTTTTAGGTTCAATATCCGGGCAGGGTAAAATTGATTGAGTTCTTTAATTTTTGGGGCTGTATTAACGGATCTTTCCATTTTCTCATAGTTTAGTGAAAATTGTAGGCTACATTTTGTATGACCTTTATCTTCAGATAACAAAAAAGGTACACATACATTAACTCGTCGAGTACCGGTTTTGTAGACTCAATTATAGAACAATAGGTTGCGGTCACCGGTGACCGCTTGGTGTTTGACAGTTTAAATAACATAACGCTATCCTGAAATTGTTACACGTGATCTCGTTACACATAGAATTGTGTATCAAAACACCTAGTTTAGTATAGTTCGGTTAATTCTCATTCGTTTACGTTAAATCATTGTATGTATGGACGTATGTTTACTCTAATTTATGAAGTAAACACTAATCAATTATTGCAAAATACTATCGCGTTACTATCATGTTCCATTCGCATATCTGATTACATTTTTTCCAATGTGTTAGGCAGTTTATTATTTTGTTACGAAATACTAATTAGTTTACATTGCGTTGATTAAATGCTATTACAGTTAGGCAATTTATTTTATCTAGTAGAACAGTCATTAGTCATTGCGTAGCAAAAAAGTCTTTATATCAACTTTAAAATTATCTTAGTTTTAGCGTTCTTATTAAGATTGGGAATGTTTTGTATGTAGGACATTTTCAATATTTAAGTAAAGGTCCAACCAAACCTTTACTTATAAATGCGAAATTTATGATGGGGTTGACGTATCCATATGGACAAAACCCCCTAAAATAATAAAATTAAGGAGAATAAAAAAAACAAATGCGAAATTATGTGTATTTGTCCTTCTGGAGGTTGCAGTGATGCAGAGTACCTACTTCTTTACTGACGCTGCCGGTGCAAACTTAGTGTATTAACTCGTCGAGTACCGGTTTTGTAGACACAATTATAGAACAATAGGTTGCGGTCACCGGTGACCGCTTGGTGTTTGACAGTTTAAATCAGAATAATATAAACGAGAACCTTTCAAATAAATTGCCATATTTATACTTCGAGTTTATCCAAACCAATTTTATTTGTCGAATCACCTTTTATTTATAAATACTCTGTCATACGGGAATTTGAGAACAACTGTGATTCAACACCGAGAAGCGCATTCTCAAACGAAAAGAACTCTTTACATTATATCCTTATGCTTTATATAATCCTTGTTGTATCCAAAAGAATCTTTTACGTTCAGTATTAAAAATTATCGATGGATTAGGCCATAGCCAGCCATTTTTGACAACCCATTTATCAAAATTAACTAAAAATCATGGGTTACACACGTGAATATACTGAAAAAAGCTCTACTAGTTTTACCAGTAATTTGTAAACCTATTTATCAGTATTGTATACTTGAATCTAAATATCAATATTTGACGCTCCGTACAAAACGTAACGCCAACGTCCATACCATGTTGAAAGCACCGGTTCTCGTCCGATCACCGAAGTTAAGCAACATCGGGCGCGGTTAGTACTTGGATGGGTGACCGCCTGGGAATACCGCGTGACGTTAGCTTTTGTTGCGAAGAACCTAACGAACGGATTACCGGGGGCTCCGGCTCGACGTGCAGAAGAAGGAACGGGGTGGTTTTTAGTCAGTAAGAGTCTGACACTCACGCCTCGCCGAGGCGGGAGCAGTCATTCGATGATTTTCCCCCCTTAAAAAAAATACAAAACGTAACAAAATACTATCAACATAGTTCCTGTTCCTTTCTTTTCAATATTTTAATACACGAACAGGCTACCCAAAAAATTATTCACTCGTCTCTCGTTTTAGGACACGCATGGACCGTCTACTATTACATCAATGCAGTGAACGTGGTTCCCATGCCGGCAACAAGCTTTACAATCACGTTTTTGTGCTTGCCTCTTGCATTGGGTTTACGACACCGCTCATACTTATTTCAAGGAAGATTATCTCGTTACGCGAATGCGAATACTTATCGGGCATCCATCGTTAGTACTTCCGAGGTCGATCATATTTGGATTTAATGACTTCATTGATTGCGAAATTGCGAGACTGCCTCGTTGGTCGAGTGGTCGCAAGTGCGACTGCCGTCCGGCAAAGTAATACTGGGTTTTTTCAAAAAATCTCAGTAGTATCACGGAGTCTGGACTTGTGCCTGGTAAATGGCAATAGGCTCACCTCTTATTACATGGGACTCATAGTGAAAAGTGGGTGTTACATTGTACAGTGGCATAAAGGGCCGTAATGTACACCTCTGCCTACCCCTTCGGGGTTAAAGGCGTGATGTTATATATATTGTTTGCGAAATTCTCCTTCAAGTTTTAAGTTACTCTTGCTTGCCTCTTCCTAACTAGATTTGGTCTGTTTGTTTTATTAGTTTCAGATTTGGTTGGAACTAGACTTTGTGGAGTGCCTGTCATAGACATTTGGGCTACCAGTAGGCTGCGTGAAGTCGCCGCGACTGCACATGCTGCTCATGAGGAAGAGCCCTTCTGTGACTCGAAACTAGTAGAGCTTTTCTCAGAATACTTACGTATGTGACTCGTAATTTTCAGTTAACTCTTCTGTTTAAAGAGTATATACTCAATCGTCGACAATACAGTAAATCTCAAGATAGTTATTATAAAAACTCAGAAGAGTTCTTGAAATATGTCTAGCATAACCGAGACACCTCAAGCTGGTTAATTAATAATTAATAATAACATACTTTTTTAAAAAAGAGTAACGAATGGAGTTTCTTGCTCGTTTTTTTCCATTCGAATCTACATTTTGGAATGAGCACCTAGCTTCACCTAATTTCACTGACGAACTGACTGACAGACTACTATTTATTTTGTATTTGTTGACGTTTCAAAAGTACCAAACTATGGTTTAATTGAAATAAATGCTTTGACTTTGAATTAATTATTTAGAGACCTTTCTAGAATTTTCTTATTTGATTTGTATCTCACATATTGCAAAGAGCAAAGTATCTCCTAAGATTTACAACCAATATCTAATCTCTCGTCACCATCTATTAAAGAACAATACCAAAACATCCACATAAAGGCTAACCCACATTCGAGTGGCGCATCGTTTGCATAATACCTTCAATTAGGCTTCCCACACATGTAATCCTTATACTGCAACACTGAAAGCGACATTTACTTCATACGTTGTTCGAGTTGTTGCAATACTGTTGTATACGATTGCTTCATACCAGGCGTGTGTAATCGGACTTATATTTTACGGGTCGTTTCCAATCAGTCGCGTATTATAGGCTAGATTGTACTTGGATGTATTTGTACTGGGTTTATTAGTACGTTAATACGTTTATTCTGATGAAAATGTCATTAACTGGTAACTAATTTTCATGACATAACATCACGCCTTTTATTCCCGAAGGGGTAGGCAGAGGTGCACGTTATGCCACTGTACAATGTAACACCCACTTTTCACTATTTATGTTATGGGTCCCATGTAATAGGCGGCGAGCCTATTGCCGAGAATTTTTTAAAGACCCAATAATAATTTGCCCGCCCCGGGAATCAACCCGAGATCCCTTGCCCGGCAGTCACAATCGCGACCACTCGGCCAACGAGGCAGTCATTGTAATTGATAACTAATTTTCATTAAATTGAATATAATTTAGATTAGGTATATAAAATTATATAGAAAAAATCTGTCAATGATCAATCACTCATGCGAATGTCTCAGAAAGTAGGCAGAAATTATAGATTGTCACCTACTCAATTACTATAATCCTAACATTTATTATTAGCTTTTATCACATTCATGTACAATATACTTCATGACAAGGTGTACACTAAGCGCTTCGCATCAAGCTTCCTTGTGCGTACTGCTAAGGAGAGGAATTCTTTGCCAGAGTCTGTATTTCCTGAAGGGTATAACCTGGGTGTCTTCAAGGCCCGAGTGAATAGGTTGCTAGGACGACGTGCTCCATCGTAGACCGCATCATCGCTTACCACCAGGCGAGATAGTGGTCTAACGTCGGCCCATCAATATTTAAAAAGGTCTTGTATGTCTGTCCATAACCATTTAAAACGCGCAAAAGTTCTACGACATATTTAGCAAGTAACACCATACACATATTTAAACTGTCAAATACCGCGAGGACACCGGTGACCGCAACCTATTGTTCTATAATTGTGTCTACAACTTGTAACTTAAATAACGCACATCTTGAAAATATGTAGTTTGTTCAGAATCGTTAACTGAATCGACTTATATAATGTTTAGTATAGGTAAATTTTTATCCCAAAAATAATTAAAACTACGGAAATTATTGTCATATTAATCCTGTATTGTTAAAACAAATCGAAATGGACCGTAAGTCAAAGCAATAAAACTTTTAAAATCGCAGTTTTATTTGTATTCATACAAATTCTATCATTCAATACAAAATAAAGAAAAATAAACCTTATGACAAGACCAGTAAGGATGCATATACATGTTAAATTAAAAATTAAGTGTATGTATTATGATTATAACATAATATTCTAATTGGGGTGTTTGAGAGTGTGCGTTAATTACGTTACATGTTGTATAATGACGGTACTCAAAGAGTTAATAGACACACCATCATCTAGCCACCTGCCTTCAAGTACAACCATAGAAAGTAAGGACTTACAAGTTTTTAATCGATTGCAAACAGGAAATCGAATAGTTTGGAACCAGTTGCATTTCTCGTCCTTAACGATATGCATATTCCTAGCAAACAGTCAAACACGAATATTTGCAACATGCTAAACTCGTTTCCTGCACTACATTTCCTTTGAAAATGTTACAGACGATAGCTTGACACGACAGTAACATG